TGGTTGGGATCCTATGGGAACATGGGGGGGACTGCAGTGGGGGCTCTCTGCTCCCCCACACTGCCCCCTGGGTCCCCAAACCAGCCCACCTTGAGTCCTCGCTGGAAGGTGGAGATGGAGAGCAGGGCCAAATCTTGCTGTTCCTCTGCGTAGCGCACCAGGTAGACATATACCAGCTTCTTCACCTGTGGGATGAAGATGACACCTCAGAGCCCCTCAAAACCCAGCCCATCCCCAAAACTCTCCTGCAGGGAAGGTGCCAGACCCATGAATGCTACCAGGGCCACCCAAGACCTTCCTCACCTCAATGTTCTTGCAGGCAACATTTTTGACCACAGCTGGGAAGAGGTCAGAGGCATTTTTACCGCGGGCGATCATCTAGGGGATAATGGAGTAGTGTGACACTGGGTGGCTGGCACGGCAGAGCTCAGCACCGGCAGCGGTCCCCGACAGTGACAACACCCACCGCCACAATCCTCTTCATGGCCTCCAACTTGAGTGAATCCTTGTTGCTGTCGAGCATCTCCTTGAGGTCATCATGCCTGTACCACCACATTTTTAGCCATTTTTAGTCTTGTTTTTCTGCTCCCAGCCCACCATCAGACTGGCAATCCAACCCTTTGCCATGCAATATTTATGGGGACAGGAGTTGGGTTACAGCCAGCTGAAAGAGGAGCCAGAGGGACTGGCATGGTGCTGGCACCCAGTGCTGTCCCCATCCCAGGCACTGTCCCCATCCCCAACCGCGTCCCATCCTGGCTGTGGTTGTTACCCTATGATGTCCCCAGTTTGCAGGTGCCCATCACCAGCTCCATTCCAGATTGGTTGGGTGCCCCTTGTCCCCTCATGGACACGGTGGCATGGGATGTGCCAGTGAGCCCTGATGCAAAGCCATTTCTCAGTCCCATCCCTGGACTGGTGAAATGCCACCAGCCTTTTGTAACGCTGGTTGTCACCACTGTCCTCTTCTATAAGGGACATCTATCCTCCCCAAACCGGGGGCACCTGCAAGGCTGCATCCACCTGCATCAGTTGGGGATGGCACCCATGGGACAGTGCTCGTCCAGAGCCACTGTCACCAGAGGGCTGGGGGAGCTCCTTGGGGGAGTCTTACCGCGGTGGTGGCCCGGTGCCAGTGGCCACTGTGGGCTCGGTGACGGCGAGTGGCCGCAGCTCATCAGCTCGCAGGGCGCTGTAGCAAGCTGGTTGTCCCGCCTCAGTGGCCAGGACTGGGCTTGTCACCTCCTCAGCCACATCACCACCCTCCGGTGGTTTTGGCCGGCTGGCCGGTCCCACCGGTAGCTGCTGCAGCAGCTTCTGCACTGGCGGCAGAGACAGCATGGCTTCGGCCGGGAGTGGTGGCTCTGAGGATGGTGGCAGGGCTATGGCCCTGGTCCTGCGCCCAGCACAGCCGGCTGAAACCTGATACTGGGGTTGGGGTTGGATTGCAGCCTTGATCGCAACGCCCTTCCTGGTGGATGAGGCCACCCTGGGATGTCACGTCCAAATGACATCTGACCTGCAGCTGGGGCTTGGGGACATTGAGGGAGCTCCTTCCATAGGTGCTGAGTGGCTCAGTCCTGGGCAGGGACCCCACACCATGGCGGGATATACACCTGGGTGGTGGGGTGGCACAATGGGACACCTGTGGATGTCCTGCCTGGGTGGTGGGGTGACACCTGGTGCATTTATCTTGCCCCATGTGCCATGGATGGCTCACAGGGATGGTGATAGACCTCCAGGGAAGGGCAGCATGCAGGTTATGGGGACACTGCCAGAGTGGGGGACACTGCCAGGATGTCAGGGATCAGGGGGCACTGCCAGCGGGGTCAGAGATGGGGGGACCTGGCCAGATGGGGGAACACTGCCAAAATGGGGGACACTGATGGCAGATCACTGAGGGGAATGAGATGGACTGCGAGAGACAGCCAGGGTGGCCAGGGCTGGGAGACACTGCCAGAGGGGATATGTGGACACTGCCAGACCTGGGGGCAGAGGAACACTGCTGGGACACACAGCCAGGCCAGGGCACATTGTCAGGGGTGAGAGCGGCGGGGACTTGGCCAAACTGAGGGACACTGCCAGGGGTTCAGGGAAGGGACGCACACTCTGAGATGGGGACACTGCTAGTAGGTCATGGATGGGGGGCACTGCCGGATGGGGGACACTGCCAGCCAGGGGGACTGCCAGCAGGGCAGGGGTGAGGGGACATACCCAGCTTCAGGGACACTCCCATCAGGCCAGGACTGGGTTGTCACTGCTAGACTAGAGGACACTGCCAGTGGATCAGGGTTGGGGGACACTGTCATACTGGCAGACACAGACAGGCCACTGGGGAGGAGGGAACACTGACACAGGTTCAGGGAAGGGGAGAGCCAACAACATGGGGACACTGCCAGCATGTCACAGATGGGGACACATCCAGAATGGGGGACACTTTCAGAGGGCCAGGACTAGGGCAGCACTGTCGTGCTTGGGGAACACATCCAGAGGGGGGGACACTGTGGTATCAGGGAGGGGTACAGGAAGGGGAGACACTTCTAGACTGAGGACACTGGGATCAGGGTGGGGGACATGTTCAGAATGGGGGACATGTTCAGAATGGGGGACACTTCCAGAGGGGCAGGGATGGGGGGACAGCCAGACTGGGGACACTGCCAGGGGCAGAGAGGGTGATGCTGCCAGACAGGGGTTACCTGCTGGGGCATCAGGAAGGGATGGGGGACATTGCCAGAGTGGGGGACACTGCCAGAGTGGGGGCTCCCCCAGCATAGGGGGAGCCACACCCCTACATTCCTGCAGTTCCAGGACACCCCCTGCTTTCCTCTGCATCCCTACCCCTTCCCCCCTGCCCGGCAGCCTGCCCCACGAAGGGTGACATTTCTCAGTGCCCCCCTCCCCCCACGCTGGGGACCTTGGCTAGGGGGGCTGTCACCCCACGAGAGCCACAGCAGATCCCGTGGTGGGAACACTGTGCTCGGGTAGGGGGGATGTCGGGGGGTGCAGTGGGGGTCCCTGCACATCCCCCCCCAACCACGCCATCTCCAAAACTCCGCGGTTTTCCCACAAAACCCTCCCTGGTCTTTGCAACCTGCAGCGACGGCAGCGTGGCCGCATCCCCTGTCCCCATCCCCGTCCACATCCCTGATCCCCATCCCCGTCCTCATCCCGGGGACCGCTACAGCGCTGGCTCGGGTACCACGTCCCCGCCGAGCACGGCGGATAAGGCCTGCGGTGGCGGCCACCGCGCCAGGCTCGTGCCTTGTCCCCTCTCCCCGCATTGTCCCCACCTCTTGTAGTCGGAGGAGAAGATGCCGCCGCTGGCGGGGTCGTGGCCGTACTCGGGCTCGCCCAGGCTGGAGGAGCCGCCCTTCTCCTCGCCGTAGGCCGGGCTGGCGGCCATGGCGGCGGGAGGGATGCGGGATGCGGGATGCGGGGGGGGGGACGCCGGCACTGATGTCAGCGCGGGCGGGGACGGGCCAGGCCCGACCTCCGCCCCGGGGCAGCGCCCGGCGGGAGCGACCCCCACCGGGATTGGGATGGGACGGGGGGCTTTGCACCCCCTAAAAAGTCTCACGCCCCGCAGTCCCACCTCCAGCGCAGGTTCGGGTTCTGGGCGGCGGGAATACAGGTGGGATTTCAGGAGAAGGAATGTTGGGACATGGTTATAGAGTGACTATCATAGAGTTCACACCTCATCCCAGATTAGAATCATTAAAATATATAATTATAGTAATATACAAAATGTATAATTATGGTAATATACATTATTATGTACAATTATAACGAGACATTTAATTAGATCACATTATAGTAAATGGTGTTGTATGTTAGGATGCTATAATATGTATTATCACATCATATTACATTATATTTCATAGATAATACATTATGCAGCAGACATAATATACATTTTTATATATTACAGATTACAGTAATTATGTGATATTTTATATATTCTATATTCTGTCATACAATATTATCCATAAACCATAATCCATTCTACATTCTACAACATATATATCTGGTGTAATGTATGCAATGTATTATATATTACATTTGTTATACTGTGTTGCAGATTATATTTATTATAGTATATATTATATAAAATATAATATATAGTATATTAGTCAATATATTATATTATTCAATATTTTATATATTCTGTCATTACATTATATATTCTAAATTATATGCTATATAGTATATAGTATATATAATGTATGATATTCTGAATGATTATATATATTAGGTATTGTATTTATATTATTCTTATAAACATTGTTGAAGATATTATGGATTGCATAACATTATCAATAGTATGATAGGTATTATTATATACTAGATATATTATTCTATATTAATTGTATTATTGTATTATTATATGTTAAAATTATATATTAATACATATATTAGATGTTATTATCAATATGCCTATAGATTTTATTATATTTATACACTTTTTCATATAATATATTAATGTAAATTAGATCTATTCTAGATATTATTACAGTTGGGATTTTGTTTGGGTTTTGATTTTAATTTTTCACAGGTTTGGTTTTTTTTTTTTTGCTATTGGCAGATATTCCCATTATTATTTTTCTGGGTAGTGGACCAGCCCCAGGGGGGCTGGTGTGGGTCAGGCAGTGCTCCCACCCCATCCCACATGAGTGAGGCAGTGAGGGAAAACAGGCACACCAACAGTGACTGACCTCCAGCCAGACCTGGTCCAGCCATTTGGCCCTTTTTCAACCCAGCAGCCCGCAGAATATTAATTTTTGTGCTCAAAATCAAATGCCAGCAGTGAAAGAGGAGATGTTTGTTTCAGGAGGCCACAGGGAGCAAAGAGAGGCACTCCCTTCAAGATGTGCCAAAGTGGGACATCACTTGACAGCAACTTCTGGGAAAAGGGAAAAAACAACACATCAAACAAAGCTGACACAGAGTCTCCATGCAACCATTTATTGCCACACAAGAGGGATACCAATGCCTAGTTCCCTGGGAAGGATGCTCCACTCCCACGTGTTCCCCAGGAACACCACCACCTCCATCACTGCAGCGCTGGGAACACCTGGGAGAGAAGGTGGGCAGTGGTGACACTTGGCTGGAGCAGGTGCCAAGGTCTCCCAGGGCAGTGGCACCTGCTCTGGTGGTGGCACCTACCATGGCACCGGCGAGCTGGCCCAGTCCCAGCAAGTCAAGGGCAAAGTGGATGCAGTTGCAGGTGATGGCATTGTACTCCACCACCTGCTCCATGGCCTCCCGGATCCGCTGCTGCAGGGCGGCCACATCTATCCCTCCCTTCCTCCGGAGCACCTTGGCCGGACCCCGCGTTCGCAGGAGGTGGCTCTTGCCGTGCTTGGCCACAATGCCTGATGGTGAAGTCCCCAAGCTGCCTGGGGGACAAAGGGGACTCTATACCCAATGTGCCTTCCATGGGGGTGTCCCCACACCATGACACCTCCTGGGGCTCACCTTCCAGGTGGATGATCTCCCCGTCACCACAGTAGACACCAGCATGGGCACTCCACCAGCTGGGGCCCCCTGAGGCTAGTGGGAAGAGGAAGAGGTCCCCAGGCTGGGGCTCAGCCACTCCATTAGGGACCACGTCAAAGTGCTGTCCCAGCAGCCCCTCACAGAGGAAGAACCCCGCCGTGGTCACCGCCGCGCTCACCACCTGGGGACCCGGCCATGTTTCAGGGCCACTGGTGCCCTGGGGACACCAGCAGCATCACCAATCTCCTGGCTCATCCTGCATCCCTGGGTCTCAATGGATAAGAAACCCTCCAGGAAGGGGCCACCTCCTCTAGATGCTGAGCACCAAGAGAAAGGTGCCAAGGGAAAGGCAGGGCATGCAGGATTCAGCCCTATTGTGCTAGGGTGAGATGCGCAGTGCAGGGCACAACAGGTATGCCAGCACTTACCTTCCTGGAGCTGCTCACCTGGAGGGACAAACACTGAGCATCAGACCCAGTGGCGCAGGGGAGAAGGGACCCAGGGCACCAGTGCCATGGCTCAGCCCTTGCCTGGACTGCTGCCAGCCCTGTGCCTGAGCCCCTGGTGGGGGTCCCTATGCCAGCACCCCTAAACCAGTCTCACCCAGGAGCCCAGCCAGTGCCAGGGCCTGAGGAACAGCCAGTCTGGGGCTTGCAGGATCTGCAGGAGGGAGCTCACCTGTAAGGAGAGGAGTCAGAGCGAGACAGGGACCCAGACCCTGCTGACACCCATCCCTGCCAGCACTCACCCCTGCCAGCACCCACCCCTGCCAGCACCCTCCCTAGCCCAGAGCAGCCTCCCAGGCCCCCTGTGGCCCCTCCCACCCCCCAGACTCAGCCCCAGGCAAGTCCCAGCCATGGATCCAGGGGTTCTGGGTGCTATGGTGGAGGGGTGGGACCACCTGGGTGCAGGTGTCCTCGGTGCCAGCTCCCCCTTTACCTGGGTGAGGAGGTTCATCTGCAAGGAGAAAAAGTGATGTCCTGAGAGCTGGGGACAAGGGCTGTGCCTGGCCCCACCTCGGGGACCTCTCTGTCCGCAAACAGTTGTGGTGACACATCACCCTGCCAAAACCCATGGCCTTGGGCACTGTGCCAGTCCTGGCACTTGTGCCATGCCCTGCTTCCTCACCGTGGAGACACCTTCAAGGTCCCCTCACTCTGCTGTGGTCCCGAAGCTACTGCTGCTCCAAGGGTGTCTGTGGGACAGGACCTCAGCCTGCCACAGTGAACACCGTGGCGGGTCTTGGCACTGGCACGTGGCCCCACCAGCGCCCAGGAATGTGCCCAGACCGGCCACACTGTGGCACCGTGCCCATCATGTGGGGCCAGTCCTAGGGGGACAAACCCAACCGGGTGTGACATCTCATCCACAGACCTTTTGGGTGACCCGAAAGGAGTCACAAAACAGCCCTGTGGCCACAATACACTGACAGCCAGTGGCCACCAGGCTGGTGACAAATCACCTCTTGGTGCCAAAACCCTCTGGCCCTGTGTGGCCACCAACCTGTCCCCAGCCCTCTGTCCCCAGGGGCGGTGCGTGACCAGGGTCAGCTCTGGAGTCACATTAAACTTTAATCCTAGTGCTGGGGGGTCAGTGAAGGCTTTGGCACTGCTCGGGTGGGTGACTGTCACCCTCTGTCATCAGGCAACCTCCAAAGAATCATTTATCACAGAGCCTCCAATAAACAGGAGCTAATTACAGCTGAAACCTGAGCCTGGCCTGGACCTGACTCAGGGCAGGCAGCCATGTTAACCCTTCCCAGCCACCTCCAGTCCCACAGCCATCCTCCTGAATCTTTGTGTCATCTTCTGGTTATTCTTGTCCCCTCCTGAACACCACCATCCTCTCCTGGTCCTGTTGTCCCACCCTGATGTACCCTCTGGTTCTCATCACACCCTTCTGGTCCCCCGTATTCCCTCCTGGTTTCCATCATCATTTTCTGGTCCTCACAATTTCTCTGGGTTCTCCTGGCCCCTATTTGTCACTACTGTCCCGCTCTGGTCCCCATCATCCATCCCAGTCCCTATCCTCCCCTCTTGATCTCCATCTTCCCCTCCCAGTCCCCATCATCCCATACCAGTCTTCACTATCTCCTCATTATCCCTATCCACTCCTATTGTGTCCCACTGCCCCCTCCTGACCCCCATCGTTCTCACATGGTCTCTATTGTCCTGTCCTGTCTCCATCATCCTCTCCTGGTCACTGCTGTTATCTCCTGTTCTCCACCATTTTTATTGTCTCTGGGTCACCATTAAAGCATTCGGGTTCTCGCTGTCCTCTCCTGTTCGTCATCATCCTCTCCCAGTCCCTATCACCTCCTCCTGGTTCCTATGGGGCCCTTCTGATCTTTGTTGTCCTCTCCTGGTCCCTGCCATCTCCTCTTGGTCTCCGTCATCCTCTTCTGGTTTCAAATCATCCCATCCTCACTCACATCATCTCCTGGTTCCAAACCATTCTACCCTCATCTCCACCCTCTCCTCCTCATCTCCACCACTCTCTCCTGATCTTTGTTGTCACCTCCTTGTCCCCATCATTTCCCCCTCACGCCCATTAGTCTGTCCTGATCTCCATCATCCCCTCCTGGTCGCCAGTATCTCCCCTTCGTCCCCATCATCCCTTTCTGGTTCCCCACCAGCCTGTGCCATCACCAGCAGGAGGGGGACTGCCAGGACAGCAGTGACTCCCTTGACACCCAATGTCCCCGGCCAAGCTGCCCCCTGGCCAGGGTGCATCTGTCAGTTTCCCATGGCCAGTAGGATTAGGGTGGCTGGAGCCTTGGGGCTGCTCCCAACTGCAGATCTCAAGCCCGTCGCCATCATCTTTGGGTAATTAGTAAATTAGTAATTAAACGCTCTCTGCCTGCTGGGGAGAAGGGGGGCAGATCCCAAGGTTTTAGGTTGAGTAATCCTGTGGCATCTGCCCCAGCGTCTGTCACCGAGCCGAGTCATGACCCCGCCACGGGCTTTAACGTTTGCTCCTTCACCCCCACCCACCACCCACAGCCCCTCAGCTGCGGTGTCAGGGTGGCTCCCAAAAACAGGCTGGGCTGAGCACCCATGGTGCCTAGTTGGGTGCTTATGGGTTGGTCATCCCCAGGAAGGGTATTGCTCCAGGGGAATCCCACCTGGGGACAGCGCCCAGCTGGGTGTAATGGAGAAACAGGGGAAGAAACCATATTTTTGTAATTATTGGCTTTCCTGGGGGTGCTGATGATTGGCTGGCAGCAGATGGTTGGCCTGGCTAATCCCCCTCCCAAATCCCTGCTCCAGAGCTGGCTTTTACTCGACGGCGAGGAGGGGACAGGCAAATTAGCCGACTCAGCGTGTATTGCCATGCTGGTCACTGCCTGGCGTCCCCTGTCACCAGGTCCCTGTGTCACCCACAGGTGGGCTGGCACCCCAGAGTGTGGGTCCTCCTGGTATCCCTGGATCAGGCACCAGGAGATGCTTCACCCATGGGCCAAGGGTCTGGAGGCCCCGGAGGGCCAGGCAGGGCAGGTGACAGCTTGCTCCCTCCGCATTAGCCCAGCGTCATAATTCTGCCACAGGAGGAGGGCGGCCGTGCCGCAGATGGTGGCAGTCAGAGATCTGGGTCAGGGGGGGCGCTGCGGGGTGGACAGGGCACCCCAGGGGGAGGGGGGTCCCAGGGGTGCAGGGGGGCTGGAGGCTGGGGGCATGGAGCTGTGGTGAAGGCAAGGATGGAACCATATGAAAGCAGGGATTGGGCCATGGTGAAGGCAGGGATGGAGCTGTCTTGAAGGCAGGGATTGAGCTGTGGTGAAGGCAAGGATGGAACTCTGGTGAAGGCAGGATGATGGAGCTGTGGTGGTGACAAGGATGGAGCTGTGGTGAAGGTAGAGAGGTCAAGCAAGCCATGATGCAGGCAGGGATAGAGTTTTGGTGCAGGCAGGGATGGAACCATGTGTGGGCAGGAAGGACAGTGGAGCGATGTACAGGCAGGAAGGGTGGTGGCATGATGCTGCACATGGGAACGTGGAACAATGGTGCAGGCAAGATTGATGGAGTTGTGGTGCAGTGAGGAACGATGCAGACAGGGGGAATGCAGGAATGCTGCAGGCAGGGGGGAAGGAAGGAAGTTGGAGGCAGGATGACAGAGCCAGGGTACAGACAGGGGGGATGCAGGAATGCTGCAGGCACAGCAGTCAGGGATGCCTGAGGGGTGACCCCTAACCCCTGGCTCCACTGGTGTCACTCCACCAGCCCTCAACAGGGACTTGTTGCCAGTGCCTGTCTCCTGGGACACCTTCACAGCAGCAACACCTCTGAGCCGCCCAAGGGGGGCCGGAACACCCATCCTCAGCCTGGCCCATCGCTGGGGACAGCCCGGGCCGGGTGACAGTGGCCACCCGCCAACCCCCTGAGCTGGGCGGGGGGGGGTGGGTTTAGCAGCTAAAGCCCTCAAATCCCAAATTGTGCTGCCCTGTCACCGTGAGGGTTTAGTGGTGGTTGCGTAACCCCGGGGGCCACCTGGCCCCCACCCGCTGCGGTGTCAGCAGCCTTAACACCCCCGGCAACCCTCCCGCCGCCTGGAGGGGGGGAAACTGAGGCACAAGGGGACCCCCACCGAGCATCCCCCCTCCCTTCGCCATCAGGGTCGGTAATTAATTATTTGGGGGCAGGGAAATTACGCCCCTTAATTACCACTTTTCGTTATTCCCCTCTAACCGCCTTAGTGAAGGGCTTATGCGCTTACAGGACCCGGTGGGTCCCAAGGGGGGGAGACACACATATGGGGGATCCCCACCCCGATCCCCATCTCCCACCTCTGCCTCAATCTCAGCCTCGCAGTGCTGGGGGGGTGGACACGCGGTGACAGGGTAACACCCCCGCGGTGGCCCGCCGTGGCGCGCGGGGGGTGGCTTGGGTGTCGCGGGGTTTAGGGTTACAGGGCTGGGGCTCAGCACCTTTTTAATTCTTCATCGCGTGGCTGATTGATCCCCCCCGCCCCGCGCAGACACTAAAGATTAAGAGGGTGACAAAGAGGCGACTGCTTACACAGCGCCCGCCTAAGCCGCCTTGAAGAGAGCAAGGCAAGAGCCCCGCTGCCCGCAGAGCTGCTCGAGCACCCAGCGCCTCACCAGACCCACCGCACGGGATCCAGAGGGACAGGACAGGGAGAGGTCAGGAACGCCGGGTCGGGAATGGCTGCGTCTCCGGAGGGGTCAGTGGTGAGCGCCGGGCTGGACGAGAGCCCCACGGGTAAGAGGTAGAACGTTCTGCTGGAGCGGGGGTGACACGGCGGGACTGCGGGCACCGGGGGGGAGCTTTGAGATGGCTGAGCCCCTGCTGTGGTCGTTCTGGGAGTCTTCTTCATGGTTCTCCTCTGGGATACTTGGGGTCCCCATTGTGGTCCAGCTCCAAGATGCCTGGGGTCCCCAGCACAGCCAACTGGATGCTTTCGGTCCCCATCATAGTCCATCTCCAAGATACCTGGGGGGCCCTATCATGGTCCATGTCCAAGACACTTGTTGTCCCCATCATGGTTCTTCTCTGGATGTTTGGATTCTCCATTGTCATCCTTCTCCAGAATGCCTGGAGTCCTCATCATGATGCTTCTCCTGGGTGCCCAGGGTCCCCATCAGGATCCTTTGGAATGCCTGGGGTCCTCATCTATCCCACTTCTCCAAGATGCTGAGGGTCCCCATCGTGGTTCTTGTCTAGGCTGGGATGCCTGCAGTTCCCAGCCTTCTCCATAGTGTCCATGGTCCTCATCGTGTTCCTTCTCCAGGAGCCCTGGGGTCCACAGTTATGCCCCTTCTCCAGGATGCCTGCAGTCCCCAGCCACAACTCTCTCCTGGATCCCCTTGAACACCAGCCCTTCTCTAGGGTCTCCACTGTCTCCTGCTGTGACCCTTCTCTGGGATGTCCCATGTCCCCACAGGTGTCCCTTCTGCAGGATGCCTCCCATCCCTGATTGCAACTCTTCTCTGGGATGCTCAGAGTCCTCTCACTGGCATGCTTGGAGTTCCCATCCGTAGGGACACCCTTTCGTTCCTTTTTGTTTTTTTAAAAGTCACGAGAGCACATCCCGCATCACCCTGAGGGCTGGGGTGTGGAAAGATGCGGGGGCCCGTGCAGAGTCCCAGTCCATGTCCCTGGGCTGGACCAGCACAATGGGAGCCACCCCATTGCCAGGATACTGGGAGGCGTCAGGGACTGGTGGGAGGGACAAGGGACATCAGGGTGTCTGGAGTCACTCCGAGAGTGCCGACTCTGCTCCCACAGGGCTAAGCCCGGCCCCGGGCAAGGCGCTGAGCCCGGTGCTGCTGTGCAAGGTGTGCGGGGACACCAGCAGTGGGAAGCACTACGGCATCTACGCCTGCAACGGCTGCAGCGGCTTCTTCAAGCGCAGCGTCCGCAGGAAGCTCATCTACAGGTGGGAATGGGGGGGGATGGGGGTGGGGGGTGTTCCCACGGGACAGGGAATGGGGGCTTGGGCAACCAGGAGAGCAGAAACCAGGGGGACATGAACTCAGCGGGAGAGGACCCTGGGGACTGGCACCGTGGGGGAAAGGACACCCAGCAGGGCAGGCACCCCAAGGAGGGGTAGGGAGGCAGAGGATGGACAGTGGGGCAGGAATGGTGGGGACAGGCACCCAGCATGGTAGGGGCACCAAGCAGAACTACAGCCCCAGGGGATGCGCAACCAGTGGGATGGGGACCAGTTGGACATGAATCCACTAGGATAGGGAGTCAGGGGATGGGGCATCCAGCAGGGAAGGGATGCAGGGAGATGGACATCCAGTGGGACAGGGACTTTGGAGACAGGAACCCAGTGGGGTAAGGTCCCACAGTATGAACACCCAGCAGGGCAGGGACCCCAGGACATGGGCAATGGATGGGGCAGGAACACAGGGGGACTTGAACCCAAGCAGGGCAGGAACTGGGGGACAGGCAACCACTGGGGGAGACACCAGTTGGGGGTAGTGTCTGGGGCATCCTCATGGGGCCAGGACACTCATCAAGGTGGGTATGCACTGGAACAGGGCACCCACTGGGGACAAGACACCTGTTGGGGACAAGGTACCCACTGTGGTGGGGCACTCTTTGGAGTAAACCCATGGTGGGTGGGCTAAGACACCCAACAGGGACAAACCCCCAGGACATGGCACCCATGGAGGCAGGACCCTCTGTGGGGACAGGGGCCACTCCAGGGGCTGCAGCCAGCTGCCACCTCTCCCCATAGGTGCCAGGCGGGAACGGGGCTGTGCCCAGTGGACAAGGCACACCGCAACCAGTGCCAAGCCTGCCGGCTCAAGAAGTGCCTGCAGGCTGGCATGAACAAGGATGGTGAGATGGGGGACACACACACATGGTGACGGATGGCAGGGGGTGGCAGTATGTGGATAGTGCTGATGTCACCTTGTCCCTGCAGCCGTGCAGAACGAGCGCCAGCCCCGCAGCACAGCCCAGGTCCGGCTGGACAGCATCGAGCTGGACGCTGAGCTGCCCCCAGAGCACGTGGCCACCACACGTGAGGTGCCGCCATCGCCCTGTCCTGCTCCTCGTGGTCCCAGTGCCACTGTCACTGTCACCTCGGGTCCCCGGGCACCCACACCACCCACCAACCATCGCTTCATGGCCAGCCTGATGACGGCCGAGACCTGCGCCAAACTGGAGCCCGAGGATGGTGGGTGGATGCCAGTGGGGAGGGGACAGGTGGGGGTGCTGTACCCATGGTGCGGTGACCACTAGCATTCCCCTTCCATCCCTGTAGCTGATGAGACGGTGGATGTGACAGGCAGTGAGCCAGAGCGGGCGGCTGGTGAGTACCAGGTGTCACCATACCCGGCAGCCAGCCCTGAGAACATCTACGAGACCTCTGCACGGCTCCTCTTCATGGCTGTGAAGTGGGCCAAGAACCTGCCTGTCTTCTCCAACCTGCCCTTCCGTGACCAGGTGAGGTTGGGGGATCCCCATGGGGAACTGGGGATCCATCCTTGGGGCAACAGGGACCCCAAAATATGTAGGCAGCCAGTGGGGTGTGGATGGCTGGAGCATCTCCACAACATTCTTGGGCACCCCCACCAAAGATGCTCTTTGGCCCAAACAACTGTGGTGGCTGGAAGTGCTGGAGGCCTTGGGGGTTACGGTGGTTTTGGGGCTCTCCCCGCTCTCGCCAGGTGATCCTGCTGGAGGAAGCATGGAGCGAGCTGTTCCTGCTCTGCGCCATCCAGTGGTCCATGCCCCTGGAGAGCTGCCCGCTGCTGGCTGTCCCTGAGCCGGCCCCTGGGAAGCTGCTGCCCGCTGCCCTGGATGTCCGGGCACTGCAGGAGACCCTCGGCCGCTTCAAGGCGCTGGCCGTCGACCCCACTGAGTTTGCCTGCATGAAGGCTGTGGTGCTCTTCAAACCAGGTGAGGGCACCCACCAGCACCTGCCACTGGCCGTCCCCCTGCCCCCACCCCACCCCGTCACCCCCCTGTCCCCACAGAGACCCGTGGCCTGAAGGACCCCGAGCAGGTGGAGAACCTGCAGGACCAGTCGCAGGTGATGCTGGGCCAGCACAACCGTTCCCACTATCCTGGGCAACCCGTCAGGTACCGCTGTCCCCAGGTCCCCACAGGTGACACCAGGGGAGGGACACCCACCCATGGCCACCGCTCTGTCCCCAGGTTCGGGAAGCTGCTGCTGCTCCTCCCGGCGCTGCGCTTCATCTCCTCAGAGCGTGTGGAGCTGCTCTTCTTCCGCCGGACCATTGGCAACACCCCTATGGAGAAGCTGCTGTGTGACATGTTCAAGAACTGACCCTCACACCCTGCTGCCACCTGGCTTGTTTGTCCCCTGGCACAGGCACCCTCTCACCCTCACCTGGATCTCCTGGCCCTGGGCTGTGAAGGGCCCGTAGTCCCATCTCCAGGGACGTGGCCAGGACTGTGGGGTGCCCCCAGCAGTTGTGGGGTGGGACCAGCTTCACTGGGGACAGCTGGTGGCAGGGAAATGTCCCCGAGTGCCCAATGCACTGGGAGCACCTCACAGGGGTGGGGGCTTGATGGTGCCACTGTCCCAAATGCTGGAGGAACCCAGGTAAGGCACACCCAGCACCACAGGGACCCACTGCCACCCGAGGGGGTCACTGGCCTGGGGAACACTTGCCCAGGGATGAAGCCAACCTGGCGGTGACACTGGCCAGGGGTGACACCAGCCTGGGGGTGACACAGGATCAAGAGTGGTGCCAACATGGAGGTGACATAAGACCAAGGGTGCCACTGGCCAGGGATGATGGCAGCCTAGAGGTGACCCTGGCCACAGGGGTGATGGACATCCCAGGTGTGACCCCAGTCCAGGGGTGACAAGGGTTGGGGATGATGGACATCCTGAGGTGGATACAAGACCAGGGGTGACACTGTCTGGGGGTGACACCAAACCAGCGTGACCCCAGTCCAGGGGTGATACTGGCCAGGGGTGATGGACATCCTGAGGGTGACTCCAGTCCCGGGGTGACGCCAGCCCAGAGGTGACCCCAGCCCGGGGGTGACGCCATACTGGGGTGCAGGGCCCTCCTGCCACCACTTCACTGCTCGCCGTGTCCCGGGGGGCTCCCACTTATGTCCCCTCCTTTTTCTACTTGGAATAAAGAGGATCTTTGCAGCCACAATCCCGTTACAGTGAGCTGGGGTCCCCCTGGACAGGGGGACGGTGGGAGGAGCACCAGCTGAATGGAAACAATCTGAACAGAAATCAATAAAAATCAATAATCAGAATATAAACATGTTGCAAATAAATTATCTGAGTAGGAATAAACTACATATATATAAAATGGATATAAATAATTTGATTTAAATGATGGAAATTGGATAATCAGAATATAAATTAGATTAATAGAAGTAACGTGAAGAGAAATAAAATGAAACTAAATAATCTGAAATAATTTGAATAGAAATAAATTGAAAATAAACAATCGGAATATAAATAAATATAAATGACCTGACTGGATAAAATCAGAATTAAATACAAATAATTATTAATCAATAATAATTAATCAGAATTAACAGAAATAAACTGAATGGAAATAAACTAATCTGAAATAATCTGAATAGGAATAAATTGAAAATAAACTATCAGAATATAAATAAATCGAACTAATCTGATTGGAAATAACCTGAATTAAATAATGTCAATAGAAATAAAATGAAATAATCTGAAAGAATCTGAATGCAGATTAACTGGTAATAAATTATCTGAATATAAATTAAATATAAATAATCTGATTAAATTAATAGGAATAGAAATAATCTGTATAGAAATAAATAATGTGAATATCAAACAAGAGTAATAGAAATCCTCTAACCATAATCTGAATGTAAATAATCAGCATTAAATAATCCCATGGGAATGGGATTATCTCCATGCCCAGCCCCTCATTCCAGCTCTTCCATCCCTGCGAGGTCAGAGGATCAGGAAAATCCGCAAACTGCCCTTTGTACACCCCCCCGGCTGATGGAAAGAGGAACCCCCAACCTCTGCAATTTTGGGACAGCGTCCACATCCCACTGGAAAGTCTTCGCCTTTAGAGAACGACACTTTTATTTCTCTGGTTTTGTCCTTTTTTACACGATTCTGAGTGCGGGATCATAAATCCTCTGACAATACAGACTTTGTTTAATTTACAGAATTATAAATTACTTAGAAAACGTCCCACGAAAAAGAACAATAATTCCCCCTCGCAGCCCCTTTCCTTTCCAGTGTCAGCACATTCCCCTCTGGAAAAGCCCTTCGGACCCCAAATCCATCCAAAAGAACGGTGGGAGATCCCGGGAATGGACACCCTGGAACATCCCATTATCTCTCCAGTCCTGCTCAGCTCCTACCAGGATTTTATATATATATATATATATATGTATATGTGTGTGTGTGTGTGTGTGTGTTATATAGTTCTTTTATGTCTATCTTTCTTTCTCTCCATATAACTACAAATACATTATATATATAAATACATTTTCTATATATTCTATATATCCCATACATTTCTCTATATAAAGAAGTATATTTTCTCTCTATACTCTGTCTATATTCCATACATTTTTATATAGAGAAAAAACATATTCTTTATATATATACATTTCCTTTATATATTTCTTTATAGAGAAATACACTCTCCAGCTAAAGAAATATACAAATACATATGAAGAAACATATATAAACATATGTTAAACATATAGTATGTTAAAGTTACATAACATATATTAAATATGTTTCTATATATAGAAGAAATACATTCAAATATATATAAAGTAATATTCTTTATATATAGCACACTTTTCTTCTATATATACTTCTTTATATATAGAAATATATAAAATATATACATAAGGAACTGCACACTTAATTTTCTTTATATACTTCTTTATATATATAAACATAAAAACATATATACATAAAGAAATATATATTCTTTATATATGGTATATATCTCATATATTTCTTTATATATAAATATGGATTACATATAAAAGAAACAGAAAGTACAAAGTATTTAATCTTTACATATCTTCTTTTGTGTATTTTTTAATTGTAGAGAGAATAATTCCTCTTTTGTATGGATATTTTCTTTATATATAGAATATATATATTGTTACAGATGTTCTTTATATATATAATATATTCTAATATATTTTCCTTATATATAAATTATATATAAAGGAAGTATATATATAGCCCAAAAGAAATATAGATACGTGTGTGTATATATATATATATATATTTACCTAAGGCAGATCTGCCTTCCCTGTTCTCATCCCACTGGGATGAGAAACCTGAGGATGAGCTGGAACCTCCCAGGGATCTTTTAGAAGGCAATTCAAGGGTTTTTAGCTCCAGAGGCTCCCAAATGGCTGTTTGGTCCCAAGCACTTGGATTCTCCGGCTCATTCCAGCTCCCGGTGAGTTTGGGGTGGCTCCCCAGGAACCTTCACTGTTGTGGGCACATCCGCCTTCCCAGCGCATCCCAGTCGGGCCCCAAATCCCCTTTTTCTCCCTCTATGGCTGGGAAAATCTTGTTTTCCTCCTTGGATGGGGAATGATTGAGTTGGTGTTGCTGCACTCCTGGGATGCGGCGCCGAGGCGGGCGCTGCTCCCGTGGGCCCGGAGTCAATCCCTTCCCCCAGTGGAAAACAAAGAAAGGTAAAACTGAAACAAAAGCGGAATTTCAAATATCAGATAAAAAATAACCCCAATAAATAAACCATCCTTGGAAAGAAATGGCCCTTTGGGCAGGGGGAGAGGGACCAAGGGCTCAGCCCAGAGATGCCAGGAAGAGACCAAATACTCCAGAAAACTCCCAGTTTCTGCTGTCTTCCCAATTTTTTATAGTGTTTTGGGAAAGATGTGATGCCCAGCCCACCTGGAAGGACGGATCCAGCCTTAATTAATCTGACTAGTGCCCCAGGGCTCCTCATTTTGCCTTTCCAGAGGTCTTCCAGTACCCGGAGCTTCTCCAGGCGCCACCGAGGGTGATGATGACGACACACAGGAGGGATTAAGAGCTGAGTCATTAGTTAGCATCATTAATTAGTCCTATGATGGGCTAATTACACCTCCAGGGATTTCTTGCTGACAACAAAACTCAGTTTTATTGAGTGATAGTTGGTGACACCAGCAGTGACACCAAGGACGGCTCAGCCCGTTGCTTCCCTCCTCCCCAGCCCAAAAATAATAATAATTAAAAAAAAAAAGCAAAAAAAGAAAAACAAAGCTCTGTCTGGGGAAAAATATTTAAAAAAAATAAAAAATATACATATTTACACTCAACTCCAGGAACCGGCATATAAACAAATATCGCTTCAAGTAGTCCTCTATTATTATTATTATTATTATTATTATTAATTTTTTAATACTGATGGTCGCCAAAAAAAAAAAAAAAAGGAGGAGGAAAGTTGGTTAGGTCACATTAAAAAATCAAAACCAAAGGAAAACGGTGATTTTTGGCAGATTTTAACACTTTTCCATGCGCTCGGCGATGGCGTGGATGAGGTGGTGAAAGCACAGAGGGCTTGGCTGCAGCAGAGCCAGCGCTGGCTCAGGATGATCCCGTGGGATATTTAGGCTTGATTTTATCCTTCCCGTGGGATTTTTAGGCTTGGCTTTCTCCTACCCATAGGATTTTTAGGCTTGGTTTTTTCCTACCGACGGGTGACTCGGCACGAGGGTTTGGCAGCGCGATGCTCCGAGCCGTGTGTGCTCTGAGGGGAAGGGCGCAGGAGCCGGCCAGTGCCCCCCCATCCCCGTCCACCCCCCACGCCCAAAGGTCTCAACTTTAAGGCCACCATTAAACCACACCCCCTAGGCCTTTTTACTTCAGAATTCATCCTCCTGGCGTTAACGAGGAAGCTGTGGGAGCACTGCCGATGAGGAGGAAGCCCCGGCACGTGACACGGTCCTGGGTGAAGCATCTCAGACCATGAACTCGTTGCTCCCCAGGAGGACGAGGGGTTGGGTGGTGCCACAATCGGCCTCAGGATTCCTTTTGCGTCCCCCCGTCGTCCCCCCGTCTGGGGGCTCTTTGGTTTTGGGGGGGGACATTTTCACACTCTTCAGTTTCTGTTTGCCTTTCTCCGGGTTGAACGTCCCACGGGTGGTGAACTGAGGTCGGTCCTCAGGGTAACAGAGGGGTCCTGCCGAGCCCTCAGGGCTCGCCCGGGTCTCAGGGGGCTCTCCATGTCCCCCTGCTCGGTAGAAAGGCGATTTGGAGTACATCTGGAAGCGCTTCCGGGGCAGGTGGGGCAAGCAGGAGGTGGATGACTGGGAGGA